TCTATATCCGGGTTTTTCTTATATCCGGGTCTCTTATATCCGGTTACACTATATATATATATATATATATATATATATCTTGGGACACTGTTCCGAATTTATCCGTATACTTGGATGAGTATCATATATATATATATATATATATATATATATATATATATATATATATATATATAAATATATATAAAGCTGTCTGCGTGCAATCTGTGAAGTTAAGCTTCAAGATGGGACATCTAACGTAGACCTGTTTAACAGGTGTAATATTGGAGGAATCGAGACTTTTATCATACAGTCTCAGTTACGGAGGTCTGGTCATGTCTTGAGAATGTCTGATGACAGGATACCCAAGATCCTAATGTACAGCCAGTTAGATCAGGGCTACAGGAATGTAGGACGCCCATGGCTAAGATACAAAGACAAGCTGAAAAGTAACTTGTCAGCAGTCAATATACCATAACACCCTTGAGCGGGTAGAATGGAGATCAACGTGTTTTTTAGTGGACTCAGCAATTTTCAATCTGCTTGTCTGAATCATCTTCAAGAAGCGAGAGCAAGATCTAAAAGGTCAGCCAATCTAACAGTGATCTCATCCCACAATCCTCACACTTGCTCCATATGTGGCCTCCATTGTAAATCACTAGCGTGTCTTAAATGCCACTTAAGATTATCGCACAAACTTTCATAACTGAATCAATATGCTGTTAGATCCTCATACGTCGAAACCTATGGGAGAGTCCATTATATATATATATATATATATATATATATATATATATATATATATATATATATATATGCTTAATTCCCCCCATGTTCTCCACCGCCTTAACAAGGACATATGGCACAGTGGAAAAAGGTGTTAGTTAGATCTAGTGACAGGACCCAAAGAGTGTGAGTTCAATACCTGGTTAAGGCAGTGGTGAATTTGGAGAAGAGAATTAACAGGAGATAACTGATAACTGGTATCCATTAGACATGGCACGTGGAACTAGAACAGTCTCTCTCATTGAGCGAAATAAAGGGCTCAGTTCGGCATTCCAACCACCTGAAGAAGCCCGGAGCGTACAACGACTGAAACGTTGTGATAAATATGGCGACAAAGATGAGGACAATAATCCGAATAATGTAAAAAGTATATTGCAGTTACACATTAACTTAAAATATTCATAATCACGGATCCCATAACCTATTAAAATCGTAGATACACTTCATGTACTGCAGCCATAACAGCTGTGGATGCATCTAGGACAAGAGAACCTGACAGTCCATCTATCTTCAGGTTTATTTTGAATTTATGATGTTCTTTCTCCTAAACTTCTTGTCACCTTAAGTCCGTGTCTTTCCTACTATTTAATCCATATCTTGGGGGAATCTTGTTTCTTTCAATGGCGTTATTACGAAGGTAATGAAAAAAAACACAGAATTTAAACTCGGCTTGTACATTCTAGTATACTGAAGAGTTACCTTACACATATCTTGGAATATTGCCGGCATATATTTCTTGACGACGTAATAAAATTTCAGTTGCACAACCAATTTTTGCAGCTGCTTTATTGCTACAACTGTGCCAGATTAATCAGACCCCTGAAGGTCACATGATAAGAATTCGATAATAGACCCCTGACCCACTAATTAGGCATCTACTGGATCTCTACAGTATAATCAATTGTTAGAAACAATTCAGTTATAGTAGGCCACTCAAAGCGCCATCTGCGGCCTTTTTGGAGAACTATTCACATGAAATTCAAAGGCGTGCTCGTAATGATATGCAGATTAAACGCGGTATATTGTAATTTAAGAAGATTTTGTGTTGAATCTTAATATTAACGTTAATAACAGTAAAGAAAGATGTACAAAATCGAGAGAAGAGAGAAGGGTAGAAAAAAGAACAAGACAAGATTAACCCTAGGTGTGTCCAGAGGAATGAGAATAGCCTACATACGCGGATTAAGTAAAGAGTTTAGGTCGAAATTCCATGAAGGGTATTAGGATTGAGAAGCATCTGATGATTATTGGTTGATTTTGTCAAGCGGCATATCAACATCTCTATGGGTTATTTAATGCCGAAATCTAAATATTTGGAACACAATTTTATGGCTTCAACTAAATATATTTTGAACGCAATTGTATGCCTTCAAATACACATAAAATGTATTGTTGGTTATTTTACTATAAATATGTATTGTTGGTTGATTGATTTTGTTTAGCGGCATATCAACACCTCTATGGGTCATTTTACTATAAAAATGCATTTTTATGCTTTGACAGTGTTTTGATTTTTGTTTGTGGAGGGGGATAAGTATTTGTCTATACCCAGTCCGATGACATACAAAATAAAAAGATAGGATTGTTCAGCGGCTTTCAGCCTCTATGAGTTATTTAATGATGAAATCTAAATTTTCTGCTTTCAACTACATATATTTTACGCATAATTTTATCCTTTCAGGTTAAAATTATGTTGTTTTTTTTTTAGATTTTGGGGGATGGATGGGGGTCACGTTTTTTCCCCTAGCTGGCACCCTAACAGTTGCTACTACCCCGCGTCAGGGTGGGGACCTGGTAACAAGAGCAATTAAAACGTGGTTCCACGCTCTTCAAAACCTCCCAGTCAGATGTCTTGCTGCCGGATGTAGTTTATCATCATGCCTAGTACTAGCGATTAAGAGTTCGTTCCACGCTACTTAAAACCTCACGATGAGTTGCCTTGCTTCCTGATGTATTTTATCGTCATACCCAGAACGTTAAGAAAAAATAAATGCAAATTGGGTAAAAATATAATATATGAAATTAAGAGAACTCAGTTAACTTAAAATAATTAACCAGGAAATAGAAAAGAAAATTATGAGACTCTTGAGAAATGAAAGTACCCTGAGGACCTGATGTAGAAAGATAAGGGACAAGGCTACCCGCCAAGATCATGCTGAATTGCATTAAGTCGTTGTTAGAATATCTGTGGAACACATCTCGAGGCGGTGTAATGGTTAGCGCAAACTTGTCTCGCTAGAACAATTATGTCTGAGTAGTGAGTTCGATCCTCACTGGATGTCCCATACTTTCGGCCTTGTGCCACGTCTAAGCCACGCTTAGAAAATAATTGGTTGGGCACATCGACGTGGTGTAATGGTTAGCAAGCTTGTCTCTCTAGAACAATTACGACTGAGTAGTGAGTTCGCTCCTCACTGTGTGTCCGATACTTACGACCTTGTGCCATATCGAAGCTACGCTTGGAAAATGATTACATCTTTATCTTGTTAAGTGAGTTGGGATCTTAAAGAGATATATGACTCCTTACACAATATGGGGACCAACACGGGAAAGGTGATTAGCTTGTTTTGTAATGAAGGTATATTTATGTCAGAGATTGTGGCTAGCTAAGTTGAAGTATAAGACAGATGAAGACAAGTCTTACCTATTCTTCATTTTTCTCCTTGTACCATATTTATTCGTACAATAAATATGGTTGCTACGGCTTCCGGAATAATGCCATCTTTTATGCTTACGATCATCTTATGTTGTCTATACGGGTTCTCGTTTGATCACCGAAGTTAAGTAACATCGATCTTGGTTATGACTAAGAGTGGACGCCGCTCTGGAATATCAGAGACGCTTTTTTAATGAATATTCTTGTCACGTAAATTATATTGGCGCAGAAAGCGAAATGAGTTGAAATGCCGGCCTAATCTCTTGTGTACACTTTCAGACACAGTATCTTTTCTCCACTGACGCCCCAGATATGGGTTAACAAGCTAGCTTCGTCACGAACACTGACCGTTGATTATATCAGAGAAAAAAACTCTTGACTTCAGTCCTGGAAGCAATCCGTCCAGAGTGACCATGCATAACATTTGCATACAGATATTGTAATATTCTACAACGTAAAGTACAAGTTAATTCACACCAACAACAAATAGCTTCTCTGATATTCCAGAGCGGCGTCCCATCTTAGTCATAACCAAGAACGATGTTACTTAACTTCGGTGATCAAACGAGAACCCGTATAGACAACATAAGATGATCGTAAGCATAAAATATAGCTTTATTCCGGAAGCCGTAGTAACCATATTTATTGTATAAATAAATATGGTACAAGGAGAAAAATGAAGAATAGGTACGGTTTGTCTTCATCTGTCTTTTACTTAAATTAGCTAGCCACAATCACTGACATAAATATACCACAGAAATTCTTGTACCAGAAGAACACATTCTTACTTACCATTCTTACTACAGCTATCATAATATCTAATAGACTATTAAGTCCTAACTAGTCCCTCTGTGGATAGTTTCTCGCGGGTGGAGATAAAATAACAAAATGCTTTCTAAGCGTAGCTTAGATGTGGCACAAGGCCGGGAGTTTGAAGTTTGAAGTGGAGATCAAAATTACTACTCAGTCGTAAATGATCGAGCGAGATTAGCTTGCGGACCCTGACATCACGCCGATGTGCAGTCGATACCCGGACAACCTCGCGTAACCTTACTGCTTTTGTAGATCCCAATACATTTGGATATTATATATATATCTTTACAACTTGCATTTATTTATTGTTTGAATTTTAGCCTCGATATTTATTGACTTAAGTAATTTTTTTTTTTCATTCTATCTAAATTCGAGAAAAACTTAAAGTCTTGTTCCGGTTGCTGGGTCCGGATTAATTTGGATAAAATTTTGACTGTAAGAATGTTTGAAAAATGAAATGAATCATTGTCGTGGGCAAGGAGGGGGGGGTGAGAGACGCGAAGTTAAGACATCGTTCCGGATGGAAGAGTTTTATTCGTGTCTTTTTCGTCCGCGCGACGTATTTGTTTCTTTCCCTTTTTTCCTTGTTGTTGTAGTTCATTTCGTTTTATATTTATATATATATATATATATATATATATATATATATATATATATATATATATATATATATATGTATGTATGTATGTATGTATGTATTCGTTTATATTTCCTCACTGTTGTAATTTTATAAAATGTCCAAAAGATTGTAAAACAAAATGACGAACTATTGGCTAAGTTTTCTTGAGAAAAGAAGTTCTTGAGAAAAGTATAAGTGAAAGGTGCAGCGATGCGGAAAGGAAGAAGGGAATTGGCATCGGTAAAAAAGGGGGGAAAAAGTCGAAGAAACGGAGTGAGGGAAAAAGAGAAACATTGAAAGGATAATAAAGATGGAGATATTAGTGGGTGGTGGTGGGGG